ACACCAGGGTGTCGGCTTGATGAGTAGGTGGGGCCGAAGCCTCTGCAATTGTGTCATGGGTTTATCCCTAATAAGGTACCAAGGTCTTATAATCTAGCCATGATGGTCGAGTTGTATCAGAGGATTTGACTAAATATTATGCCTTAGGCTTACCTTGATAAAGAGCCAATGGCTTGATTCGACTGAGGAGCTGAATGCCTGGAACTCTTGAGAGTTGACTAGGGAACTCTTTTCCCTAAGGCCGAGAGATGACTGTGGGAGTCGGTCAAAGGGTTAAGTTTGTTTTGCTTAGGACTCTTATCGTATCATCTCACAAATACTGTATCTTGGGTGAGTGAACACCATAATATATATGTATTTGTACATACAGACACGCACACACAGAGGCATATATTTTTATTCCTTGGTGATTTTTTCTATTTTATTGGGTTTTCTAAGTGACGATGTAATAAGATTTAGGCCAATGGGTCCTAACTCAATTGGACTTAGGTCAATAAGTATATAAATACACCTCAAGATTAATTGCTCAGTCAACTTAGGTTTAGTAAGATAGAATCACCTTAAATATAGTTCTTGGAAAATAAAATTAATCAAGAGGCTTGTAAATTGATTGAAGCAAAAAGGTTAGCTTGTTCTTTTTAAAATTTTAAATATAAGTTTTTAAAGTTTGTCATGGTTTTGTACAACTACAATAAAAATATTTTCTAAGAGATTTACTTTGGAGTTATGCATAAAAATATTTTCTTCAATAAAAACTAGCTTTAATTTGATTATTTAAAAATATCAATTCAATCATTTCTACATTAACTTTTTCAAATTGTCAAGTGACCAAATTTTGTGGATATATTAACTACAAACCCTCACAAGACTAGAATTCATCCTCTAGGATAATCTAGAGGTTTAAAGCCTGTTATATGTGCTAAATACGACAATGATTCCTTTGTAATTGAGTTATAATTTTTTTCTTTCTTTGCTAGAGGACTAGAAAAGTTTAGATGTGCGGGTATTTGATTAAAATATTTATTATATTTTTATACCTCTATTTCAAATTAAGTTTCATGCAAGAAAATTATCAACATTGTGTTTTTGTCTTGGTTTTTAGGAAACCCATAAATTGAGGAGAATGAAGAAAATAAGAGCTTAAATGAGCCTCAAGAGAAATCCAGATCAACAAACCCAAAAGCCCAAGAGAATTTTAGCGAAATTTTAAAATTAGCCAATTGGGTATCGACAGTAGCATTAATACTAGTATCAATACTAGCATTGATACCCTTATCAATACTCATACTGTTACCTAGTCAAAATAAGGGAAAAACAAATCAATGGTCAAAAATTATTTCTTGGAGGTCAACCTTTATCATAGGTTTGATATTGATTTATGTACTCTGTTAATAGAGGTTGAGAGTGACAGTGAGAGGTGTGAAAAAAAAAATTTTCAAATCCTGCTTTAGAGGTTAGAATGGTGTTATTTTGTGCCTTTCAAATATTGTAATACTTAGTTTTGCAATAAAAATAGAAAAGTTTTCTTTGTTTAAATTTCTTTTTTATGAAAACTTAAAGAAATTTGGGTTTACAAGAGGGACCAACCTCTCTCAATGTGAGTTTTTAATTTTTAAATTTTTTTTCTTAATTAGGATTGCATATTTAGGAAATTAGTTCAAAATTAATTTCTTTAATTCATACCTTGTCTTGATTTGTTTAATTTTCATGCTCATTATTAGTCAGTTTATTTTCTTTCTTATAATTTTTTTCTAGTTTTATTTTCATGTTTATATAGTTAGTTTATTTTCTTTCTTTTTATTTGCTTTTTATAATTACTTTCTTTTCTTGTCTTTTTATTCATGCTTTCTTTTATAAGTTAGTTAGGAATTAAAGATAATATGTGCGGCTAAATTTCTTAGGGTAATCACGACAAGAGGAAACCAGTATAACTTATTTGTTAGAATTAGATTTTCTCTCTTTTATGCCTTAATTATTTGTGTATAATTGGTCAATCAAAATAATAGTTGATAGAATATTCTAATTTGATAGATTATACTTTCTTTAAATAATTTGATAACTTTTGCTTATTAGTATTCTAGGATTATTATTTTCACTTGATCGTCTATGCATAAAATTTTATTTATTTTTAAAATATATTTTGATAAGCTATGCTTTCTTTAAATAGATTGATAGGTTATGCTTGTTAATTCTGAAAATAAATTAAAAAAGTAAGTTCTAGATCTAATAAATAATTATCTACTAAAATTTATTCTAACTTCATAGTTTAATTTTCTTATGCTTTCTCTTTATTTCCTATTTCTTAGTTTGTTACTTGTCATCTTTTCTTTCATTTTCTATTTTTTAGTTCTTTTATTCCTCCATTTTCTTATTCTTTTATGTTGTTTTTATTTTTATCTCTTTTGCTTTGTTTTTCCTTTTCTCTTTTCTTGTTTGTGTTTCAGTTCTCTTTTATCTCCCTCTTTCTAATTTTCATTTTTCTTTTTCTTAACAAAAATTCAAGAATACATTCTGAAACACTTTTTATAAAGACATCTTTTCAACTAACTTTATAAAAAGGGAAAAAACTCATTTTAAAGCCAAAATCTCCCTCCTTGGATTTCAACATTTACTATGATGTAATTTACCGGTCACTTGCAGCAAATTCATTTCTTACATAATAATGGATAATATGCTAATATATGTGTTTTTAAAATAATTTTCAATTCAAATGGATGCCATATACTCCCGATGTTCTCGATTCCCTTGTAGCTAGATGTAGAGAGGGCACTCATTTATGGAGAGCCAAAGTACTGTTGATTTGTATTAAGATTGTAGAGATGCATGTACCAAATCGTATTTTGTCATAGTTTCATTTATCACATCATTTGTTTGATCCTATTGAGATAGTTAAGCGAGTGCGATGGAGGAGATTACATCATACATATTAGGGGAGACAACATGAATCCTTCATAAACAAGTGGAATGATAGACACCAGTTTGTAGAGTATGAAAGAGTTGGCATACTATGTGCACAATATCAGTGTTGGTATTGGGATATCACACTAAGATGGATAATTTCTGACCCTCACCCAATAGCTAGACTCACACCACGCCCACCACCAGAAAGCTATATGCCCGAGGAAATGGTCGAAAGAGATTATGTAAGTTTTAAACTAAAGCAAAAAGATTTCCTTTTGATATCATATGACTTACTAAGTTGTGTATATTTTGATCAAAATGCAGGTCCAAGCATTTGATGACATTGAAGAAGATATATTTGAGAGTATTGCTGATATTTAGGATACGTAAGCATTATCTGTATTCAACAAGATCAGACGGATGATAGCTAATTGTTCTGGAGGAATCATGTCGACGAGTTTGAAGGACGCGATGACAAACCTCACCATTATATGAAGGAGGTATACACATGATGAAGATGTAGGGCGAGATCTTCTATGGTATGTGATGATGTAGCATACACTTCTCAGTGTGCTCCACACGATGAGGAGTATCCACTCACTACATAGCCTCATACACAACAATATATTGAGATTATTAAGGCTCATGGTCACAGACATCGGGGACGGGATAGGGAAGGGGAAAGAGACAAGGTGCGGGGTGGGGGGCAGGAAGGAGGGGAGGAATGCTAAGATGTATGTAACTTTGTTTTATATGATGTTTATTTCGTGTTTCAGATTATGCTGAAGAACGTTTATGTATGACATGAGACTTGGATACTAGTCGTTTTTTTATTGTTTATCATATTTGGATTGTTCGAAGAGATAGTAGTTGTTTTATGATTGTGCATCTTTCAAATTGTCTGTATATTTTAGATAGTGTATCATTCATATTGTGAATCTTTTATGAGAGATTATTTATATGCGATGGCTATGTATGTATGGATATATGGATGTTGAAATTGTATATAATCAATGTTATAGAAGGCGCTAGGCAGACTAGGTGTTTGAGCCAACACCTAGTACCTAGACACCTAGGCGTACGCCTAGGCAGCACCTAGGCTTTTGACTATTTTTTAAATTATTTAATTATAATAATTAATTAAACTATGTATTAAATTCATATAAAATTGTAAAAAAAAGATAGCAAACTTAGATCCACAATAAACTATGCATACTTAAATACTAAAATAGCCAAAATTATGACTAACAATGTTATAGAAAGTGCTAGGAGGCCTAGGCGTTAGACCCGACGCCAAGAGCCTATGAGGTTTTCTTTTTATTTTTAATTGTAATAATTGATAGTAAATATCAATGTGATAGAAAGCTTAGGTGCTGGAGTAGTGTCTAGGCAAATTTCTTTCTTCATTTAAGTTGTGGTCGAGGATGTTTTGCTAAAGGTCAGAGGAGCTATCGGAGATGTACCAATTTGGAGGTTAAACAAGTTTAAAAGAGATTGGAGGACCTGGATGCTGCAACACAGAAAATCACAATCAATGCCTAAATGGTGCAGTCACGTAAGCAGACAATGCTTTCCAAAACATTCCCAAAACCTAGATGAGCAGCCTAGGTACCGCCAAGACGTTAGGCGCTAGTTGGGCGGCCTAGCTACCACCTAGGCCTAAGCATATGCCTAGGCGAACTAAGGGCAGACTTTTTAAAACAGTGTATTTAATAGGAAACAAGTTGTGAAGGATGAGAAAACAACACTCTGGAACGTTGAACAAAAGTCTATGGGGTTGAGAATTTAATAGACTTTAATTGCTAAACAAAGTCTATGGATTGAGAATCTCATAGAGCAGAGAATTAATCTCTACGGGATTGAGTATCGTGTAGAAATCATTGGAACTCCACGGGATTCCCATTTCTACCGACTTTGTAGAGGTTTTTTCTTTCAAAATAGACTCAGTTTGCTGAAATTGGGTCTTTTTTAATAATTAAGTAGGGCATAGGTCGCGTTTGGTGATTATTTTTGTGGAAGTGTCTATTTCAAAAATTTCCAAAAAAAAAAATCTGAAATAACTTTTCGGGTATTAAAGCGAAAATAAGCCATGCCAGTTTCACTTCAGGCCCTCGTCAAATCCAACGAGCAGCACAAAAATAAAACCCTCGCGGGGGCGAATGCGAACCTCGCTCTTCTCTCGCCTCCCGTCCTTCGCCGCTCCCAAAACCTCCACCGCCCTCAACCTCTCTCTCATTCCTCGCTCTCCCCTCGCCTCCCAACCCCGAACCAGCCTCTCGAGCTCGAGCCCGCAGATGGAGGGCGACGCGTACACTTTTGGTCCGTACAAGATCCACAAGAGCGAAGTGTTCTTCTCATCTCCCCTCTCCTATGCCATGGTCAACCTCCGCCCTCTTGTCCCTGGTACCGTTCTTTTTTTTTCCTTGTTCTCTCTTCGAAGTAGTTTTAATTGCGAAAGTTTTCCCCAGTTTGAGAGTTTCCATATATTTTTCCAATTATCGACTCATATGAAGGAAATCCGCATTGATTGTTTGTGTAAATGTGAATGTACAGTTTAAGATAACCCAAAAAATGTTAACTGATTCTTAATTTTTCTGTTAACTGATGTCGATTCGGTCGAAGGGGACCTGACATAGAACCTAGTAAGCCATTTGATGGATGTGCGAGAAACCCGTAGTCATTTATTGTTATTGGTACACTGAAATGATATATTAAGGAAACTTCTACTGAAAGGGTAAATTAGATAATCATAGAAGTACAAAATTTTCACCAATTTGAAAGTTTCTAGGTGTTTTTTAATCATCATCTGACTGAAGGAAAACCCACATTTGATGGGCATGGATTTTTTATTGCTTGTGTAAAGGTGAATTCACAATAGATGATGACCGAAAAACATTGTGGGTTTTCACCTTCACACAGTAAGCCAATTGATGGGTTAGTGAGAAATCCATGAGTGTTATGAGTATGTCAAGAAACTACGAAACATTCCTATGGTTTAATGGAAGGTTTGGAGAAGTAATAGTATTGATAGAGAGTGTAGAGACCTTGTCACAACCATTTGGTTAAGTGTGCGTAAGGCTAGTAGAAAATGCATGAGATGAGATTTAGCACCACATTGGAAAGAGAGTAAAACGAATTTATGGTTAAATATGTTTGGATTAATGACTCAAATAGGATTGATGCTTTTTAGTCAATTGGGTCCAACAATATTAACCTAGTGTATATATATTACTGGGTCTTTTCAACCCTAACAAATTGGTATCAGAGCCATGGCTTGATGGATGTTTGTTGGACGTCCTGTTTGGTTCAAGATTCTATTATACTAGCTAGAGCTCGAGGTAGGGTGCACATGTGACATTACATTTGGCGGTCATGTGACTTGGTTGAGCTTGGGTTAGGGCTCCCTTGGTCCTTATGTTGTTCCTTTGTGAAGTGCTTGAGACACACTTTCCATTAGCCATATCTTCTGGCCTCGAGTTGGACTTGACTCGATTTGGGCTAAGGTAGAGATTTGTAGAGAGTGACTTGTTAAGTTTCTGTTAGGTTAGTAAATGGCATGACACTTGGTCCCAGATAGGAAAGAGAGTAAGATGAATATATAGTTAAACATTTTTGGACTGATGACGCAATTTAAGATTGATCCTTTTTGAGTTCATTGGGCCCATGTAGATTAGTCTAGTCCGCCTTTCCAACCCTAACATATAGAATTCCATTGTGCTTTAGATATCTTTGTGTCATGATGGTTCTAAAAGTGCTCTAGCGGTTCTAATCACATTATACAAATACTAGCTCTTATTTGAGGACACGTTTTTTTTTACGAAGGAGCACATCTTACCTGGTTAATTTTTTTAAGATTTAAGGGGTTTTTTATAATGTCTTTTAACTTGGTTTGACCAGCAAAGACATCAACACAAACATCAATACTTCTTTTAAGATATAGAGGTTCTAATTTCACATCCAATGCTTGCCATCGTTGAAGAAAAAGGACTGGAGCACCTAATCAAAACTGATGATTTAACCATTGTGAACAGTATGAGTAGTTAGTAGTAACGTGATAAAATTATAGAACTTCATGTTTTCTATTTCTCTTACAAACTGCAAGTCTGCAACTTTGTTACTTTGCATCAATAACTTGTGGTTAATATCGTGAAATCAAATCTTGAATGATTTTTTCTCTTTGCAGTCTTATCATTTTATTTTCTTAAGCTTCAGTAAATTATGATAGTTCTATAGTATTGGTAGCTATTTTAATTTTAGAATTCACGTTTGCGCCCTTTTATGTAAGTATCTCACTGACTATGGATGTAGAGTATGAAGCAGAGATTAGATTAATATGGTTTCCTTGCTAGTTCCAGGTCTAATGTAATGACTAATGTAAGCTACTAATAATAAAAGGTCGGTTGAAGTATTAGCTTAGTAATTTGCATAATGGAGAGATTCATTTCCAATATGCTTCTCAGAACAAGCAAGTCATAAATAATTGTGCAAGTACTGCTGTACTTTCGTTCTGAAAAAAGTATTGTGCTTGCAATTCATCGCAATTCCTCTGATCCTGGCTTCATACTTGTTATGTTTTCTACCATAACTTAAGAAAATTGAAGGGAGAAATTGTGCATAGTTCTGATCTCTTATTTGTTATTTTTTTCCATATATATCCTATTATTGTTGAAGATGCAAAAGGTTTCACATCTTATTCATTGAAGGAAGAAGAGAATTTGAGGTATAGTAGAGATATTTAGATGGTGACTGATGTATTTGAGACCCGGGTAAAAATATGTTTCCATAATAAAATTTGAACCACGATTTTATATCGTTGTGTAGAATTTAGGCATTGCTCTTTATTTTTGGAATTACGAGTGCATATTACAAGTCTTTCTGAAAGGAATTGACTTGTAGTCTGGTAATAAATAGATGGTGGAATTTGTTTCACTTGAGGCGTTACCTTCTGTAAGGAGAGAAAGCTTTCTTGTCTGAAACATTTTGGTTGTAGACCTTAGTATGTACCTTTCTAAAAGAGGGAAAATGTTTCATGGCAGTAGAAGATATATGTTAATCATTTACTTACCTATTTTCAGAAGTGAAGTACCTGTGATTACCATAATTATCTTTATGTTTCTTCTTTTTTTTTCCCTTGTCATCAATTCTTTGGAAGTGTTTATTGTTCCCTTTACATTTTCTGGGGACTAATGAAGTATCATTAATTCACATAAAATTTCTGGAGTTTAAGACTACTTGATATGTCTCACCATCATTATCTTCAGGCAATATTTTTCATGTTATATCATGGTATCATAGCCAAAAGAACGGGTAGTGTTCTTTATTTCTAAAGACGAATAACAAATTTGGAATAGAAATATTCATGACATATGGTGATGCCATCTTGTATGAGCTGATTTGTTATACAAGCCCTAGTTTTTAGCTTTTGTACTTTACCACACTAGGAGAAGCTTGACTTAATCACTTTTGTAAATGATATACAATGCTATCTTCTACTAGGTGGGCTGATTGCCACATATTATTATCGATATACAGTTTTTATCACTCTTATATTATATTATTATCTATATACAGTTTATATCTCTCTTACAGTTTTTACTGTTAAAAGCTCATCCATGGTAAATTTTTATAGTAAATTTTTATCTGATTTCTATGGTAAATTTTTATCTGATTGAATATCTTTTGCCATTTAACCATTAAATTCTAAGGTACTCTTCGGCCTTTCTTTTTTAATTATTGTATCTGCATGAGAATCAATGCCATTTCATATTAGCCTCTACTAGTTGATATTCTAATTACACGATATAACTTTTGCAGGTCATATCCTTTGACGTTGAACTTTTTTCATCTTTTTCCGGGTGACATCTAGAGGAATATATGCTTCAATTTGGTCATTGTAGTTGCATGTGTGCATGCGTGTGAGTGACAGATTTTATTAAGCAGATGAAAATAAATTCCTCAGTATATAAAGTTATAATTGGTGTTTTCTTATACCAACTTAATAAAGAATTGAATCTCTACGCGGCAATCATTGATGTTGTTATCTTCTTTTTTTTATCTGGCCTTTCTTCTTTCATGCTTCCATCTTTCATAATCTCAACCTAAAACTCGATTGCCACAAAAATTTATTATTCCCTCTTTAGCCATGGCCTTGTTATGTTACCCCTAGATTGCCGAAAAATTTTGTTATTCCCTCTTCAGCCGGTAGCCTTGCAGTGTTACCCTAAGTTGCCATCATTATTTCATTTTGTTTTCTTTTTCTGCTTACTACCCATTATTTCAAATTCTGCATGTTGAGTGAAACAATAGAACTTTAGCACCACTGCCATTTTTCTTTGAGAGTGAAGGAATACATCCACCCTTATCTACATTTTCCAAAACTAAATACACATTGTCGGTGCATGATTTACTTGGGTTTTAAGAGGCATAGAGGTTTGGTCAAAGAGTGAAGATGAAGCAGAGGATAAGGATGAGAAGAGAACAGAAACAAGATCCCCACACATCTATTCATCTCCTCATTTTGTGGGTGCTTTTAAAAGAACCACATAATAAATTCAACTTGTTTGCTTTTTTGCTTACTGCCAACTATTTCCAATTATGCATGTTGAGTGAAATGATAGAAATTCAGCATCATTGACGTCTCTCTTTGAGAGTGAAGGAATACCTCCACCTGTAAGAAAAGGATTCCAAAGAAAGTTGTTTGTTTTTCACATTTTCCGGGAACTAAATATAGTCAGTGCATACTTTATTTGGGTTTAAAAGGCATAGAGGTCTGGTCAAAGAATGAAGATTAAGCGAAGGATAGGGATGAGAAGAGAACAGAAATGTGATCCCCATGCATCTATTCATCTCCTCATTTTGTGTGTAATTTTTTAAACAACCAAGATATGTGAATTTACCTTCCTGTTTTAACTATATATTCCTTGGAATTTAAACAGTTGAAGATGAGATGCAAAAGTTAAAAACTTTAGAG